TTATACAGCCCAGGATCATGACTGCCTGGGGGTGACACCATCCAACTTGGGCTGGGCCCACCCACATCAAGAAAATGCTGCAAAGCTATGTGTGTAGGCCAGACAGATGGAGGCAGTTCCTCAACTGAGTGCCCTCTTTCCAGGTGACTCTAGTGTTGACAAAAAAAAAAAAAAACAAAAACCTAACCAGTACAGAAGCCAACCTGCAATTTAGTCATGTGACATTCTGTTATGTTTGTTATGTTTTGTTTTTCTATAAACCAAAAGTATATCAAAGTATATAAAACTGAGTAATAATTCTTTTTTATTTCTCTTCTTTGTTTGTTTGGTTTGGTTTTTCAAGACAGGGTTTCTCTGTAGCTTTGAAGCCTGTCCTGGAACTCTGTAGACCAAGCTGGCCTCAAACTCACAGAGATCCGCCTGTCTCGGCCTCCCAAGTGCTGGGATTAAAGGCATGCGCACCACCGCCCAGACATACCCAGTATTCTCATATTTTACAAATGCAGATGCTTCAGCATTTGCTGTGCACAGAATTTACACTCCCGAGTGCTCACTTGCACTCTGGGCCATCTGTGCAAAAGATGTGCAGAGCTAACTAGAGCTCTCAGAGGCTATACAGCTTATGTTGGCGATCATTTTAATTCTCAATCAAGATGGTTTTTGAAATCTAAATTAGGAAGAAAATACTTAGCTTTAGATTATTATCATGTTTTTAACTAATGGGAGCCAAGCTTCACCACCCATTGTCTCTGAGAAGTGACCACCTCTGAATTAGACAGCGAACCAAATGAAGAGAATGGGAATGATCTAGAGACTATGGAGACAAGAGTTCATACTGGTTTTATCCAAAAACATGATTTATCCTCCAGTTCATTTTCTTTTTTCCCCCCTCCGGTTCATTTTCAGTTGTGTCTAATGATAAAAAAGCTCAGAAGTCCCAGTGATGAGGTTCAGAGGGTAAAGGAAGCTTGCTGCCAAGCCTGACAACCGAGTTTAGTCCCCAGAACCCACTTGGTGGAGGAGCAAGCTGACAGGTTGTCCTCTGACCTCCATACAAGCACCATGGTACATGTATGTACACACATACAAATAAATAAATTGATGCAGAACTTTGAATCTTACAGGGCAGTGATGGCACACACTATTAATCCCAGCACTCAGAAGGTAGAGGCAGACAGAACTCTGTGAGTTCAAGTTCAGCCTGGGCTGAGCTACAGACCAAATTCCAGGACAGGCTCCAACACTACATAGAGAAACTGTCTCAAAACATAAAAGAATTAATCCTAGTTCCATATATACTAAAATTTGGCAGTTATGACAGTAATGCTATGAACATTCTTGCATATTTCATGTCATACACATGTTAAGTTTTCTCTGTGCTTACCAAGGTTCACTGTTCACTATGTTGGTCTTCAATTGTTTTGTATACTAAAGATGTTTTTGTGTTTATTGTTGTTATTGTTGTTTTGCTTTTTTTGTTTTTTTGAGACAGGGTTTCTTTGTGTGGCCTTGGCTGTCCTGGAACTCACTCTGTAGACTAAGCTGGCCTCAAACTCAAGAGAACCAGATCTGGTCTGGGATTGAAGGTGTGGGCCACCTTTGTCCTTTAGATTTATTTTTATTCTTTTGTGTGTGTGTGTGTGTGTGTGTGTGTGTATGTGTGTGTTTGTGTTTGTGTGTGTGTGTACATGTACCTGTGTATACTGGTGCTACAGAGGCCCCTTAGAGTTGTAGGTTCAGATGGTTGTAAACTGCCTGATGTGGATGCTGGGAACCAAACTCTGAGTCCTCTTAGAGAACAGCAAGTGTTCTTAGCTTCTGCATCATCCCTGCACCCTAGATTTTCCTCCTAGTTCACCATTTCGTTAACTTTACACCAAAGCTTAAATCTCAGTTTAGAGGACTTTGTAGAGGGGGCTGGAGAGATGGCTCAGCGGTTAAGAGCACTGCCTGCTCTTCCAAAGGTCCTGAGTTCAATTCCCAGCAACCACATGGTGGCTAATAACCAACTGTAATGAGGTCTGGTGACCTCTTCTGGCCTTCAGGCATACACACAGACAGAATATTGTATACATAATAAATAAATAGATAGATATCTAGATAGATAGATAGATAGATAGATAGATAGATAAAGGCCTTTGTAGATCTATTGTGTTCTTTTTAAAAATTGCTTCTTTTTATATTTTCAGGTCTTTTAAGAAAAATGCTAGCTTTACATTCAGTGTCTGTCTATCCCAATTTTGGAAGTCTTTCCAGAACTGGCAGTGCTATTCCACTTGCTTTTTTTCAGGGTGCTTGATCTCCATATAGAAACTATGATTTTAATGGTTTCTAGTTTCAGTGCACTTTCCTAGTGCTTTGACTCTTTAATATGATTACTCACGTTGTGACC